GATAATTATTGTTTTGGTGATTCATCTTGCAGACCCTGCCCTTCCTTATTCGCACAAAATATCCTACTCCCTGCAATATTTCTGGGTCAGGCTCGTGCCACACATGTGATTTCCTCTTGGGCATGCCAACAAGACAAGATGGATTTAAAGGTCAGCCAGCGCCAGGCTGGCCACCCTTGGCACTGCCCCAGTGTCACCTGTGGGGAGGGTTTGGGGTTGGATGGGCACAGGGTGGTCAGGTAAAGGTCACTCGTGTGGGGTGGGGGGACAGTGCCTCTGTTGTTGTGCTGGAAAATTTCACTGCTCCAGTCTTCAGTGGAAAACATTATCACCAGCACATCCTGGCATGTCATTTGGCCTCATTTATTATCGTCGAGTGTTGGCTTAATGCTTATGGTGCATTTCTAAGGTACTTAGAGAGGGTTGTGGTTTTTCAAGGAAGCATAACTCATGGAGGACAGGGGAAGGAGAATCTTGAATGTTTTTGGCACCCAAATTTTACTGAACATGAAAAACATAACCTGGGCAGGCTTTAGCATGATCTCTTCGTGGCCCAGAGGCCACAGGGAAGGGATATGCCCGTCGGGCAGGATTAACTCCAGGGAGAGCTGGGCTCTGCTGCTCCTGCCAGCGTGCTTGTCCAGCTCTGTCCGCACATCCTGCACTCCCCACCTCGGCTCGGAGCAGCCACTTGCCTTGGGTTCCACCTCAGCATACAGAAACAGGATGAAAGCCAGAGATGGCACCAAAAGGTGGGTCAGAAGCTTGGCTTGGGTTTGTTTGGGAGCTTTTCCCCCTGCTTTCACTTTGGTGTTTGCACTAGAGGGGTGGGCTCAGAGCTCACAGCTTGTTCGGCTCTCCCTGATGGCGTGACACAGCCGGAAAGAGGGAGCACCAACACAGGGAGCCAGGAAAACTCCAGGTGGGATGGGATTGCATTGACCACCCTCACCTGGTGAACTGGCAGTGTTTGACGGTCCCCAGGGTAGTACAGCACCGCTCCTGCTGTGGCCCTGTCACACACAGGTGGAGCACGACGCCCATGCCAAACACAGGAGGTCACTTTCGGTATTGAGCATAGCCAGAGCTGACACACGCCGAGGGAAAGCTGCCGGTACCAGCCCGAGCAGGCTGGGAACAGAGTCTGAGCAGCTCTCCTGCAGCCCCAGCCTGCCCTGCTGCCCAGAGGCAGCTCTGGGCTCTTCACGGGCCAGGAGCAGCTCCTGGGGATGTTCCTGACTGATGTAACTGTTTTTAGCACCAAACTGATTGTATATGTGATGGTAGTCTCACAACCTCTCCCTGTATGGTACATAGTTATGACCTGTTTCATGAGAAAAAACACAAAATGGAATATTCTAGTGGCTTTTACTTCAAAGAAGTAAACCGTGACCACACTGATTTGTTTTGAAAACTCTCCCAGCAGCCTACACTTACATTTACAGTTTCTTTGGATGTGTAACATCAACAGCTCAGAAAACTGGGGCTGTAGTGGCACAACAGATTCAATCTGCTGCTGCTCCCTTGAGTGTTAAATGCTTTGAATTGGCTTCACCATGTTTAAAATACTATTTTTTAAAAATTTTCTTTTCCTGGCACAAGAGTTCTGAAGCAACACTTCTGAGAACAGCTACCTGGGCAGGGAAGGCTTCTTCCACTTACTGCCCAAAGTATAAAAATTGCTTTTATTTGGGTAAACAGTGCTGAAACACCAATGTTGTACAGGTACACCTTATAAAGGTTTGCTTGGGATTTTATTATTGTACAAGAAAAATACCCAAACTACCCAAGCAATAACACATCCACTAAATGTGGCCAGTAAATAATCTAAAAATATGAGGGAGGATTATATTCACCATGGTTTAGGCTGTAGAAAATATAGAGTTTGGTTTGGTTACTTGCCTCATTTATAGGTAACTGTTTTCAAAATTCTGGGTTGGAATTGATGGAGTTTTGATGAAGCTCCCAAAAATGCATGTTAGAATAAGCCACCTGGGTACTTTCTGTTAGGTATCAAACCAACACTTCCAAAGCTTTGTATGGAGCTGTCACATGACTTTAATGTGCAAATCCACGTTAAAAGCTTTGCTCACCAAAAGCAGAAATGTGGAAACTCAACAAATCACCTCTGGAAAAATGGCATTTGTGAGTTATATTCTCAGAAGACTAAAAATAGAGCTCCATCTGTTTGTTTTCCTTTATGAAGTGGCCAACTGTAACACTCCCTTACCAGCCCTAAAAAAGAATTTACATAAAAGACGGTGACGCAAACCCTTATCTCATGACTGTGTCTCATTAGGTCATCAGTGGTGGGCAAGAAATTACTTCACTTTTAAAGTGTCTTTGCCATCTTCCCTGACCGTGGACCAACTCAAGAAAATATTTTGGGGCATTATCCGCACAGCAACGTGTTACCTTAATAGTGCAAATGTGTCAGTGGAAGCTGCAGTAAAATCGGAGCTGTTGATCACCTGTAAGGCAGCACTGACACAGAAAAACCCTCCCACGGGCAGTCACTAACAGAGCTCAGAGCTGCCCTGGCCAAAGGGCAGCTGGGCTGTTCTCCAGGGAGAGCTCCACAGCTTCAAACCCTGCTAAGCAGAGCTTCTGGGCACCCAGACCTTTCAGCTCTATTTCATCTTGTGTTGTTTTATTTTATTGTGGGAAAAACACTTGTCATGGCTTATCTGTCTGACAATGAACATGTTTGGTGCTGGAAAATGAACATCCAAAGCCGTGCCTGGGCCTCCCCACCCTGACAGGGAACAATTCCTTCCCCATATCCCATCCATCCCTGCCCTCTGGCAGTGGGAGCCATTCCCTGGGTCCTGTCCCTCCATCCCTTGTCCCCAGTCCCTCTCCAGCTCTCCTGGAGCCCCTTTAGGCCCTGGCAGGGCTCTGAGCTCTCCCTGGAGCTTCTCCTCTCCAGGTGAGCACCCCCAGCTCTGCCAGCCTGGCTCCAGGGCAGAGGTGCACATGAGATGTTTTGTTGTCATCTAGTCACAGAATTTTTTCTAAATCTAAAAGCAACATTGGACTATTTTCTGTTGCAAACTTTGATGGAGAGAGCTGTGTTTGGATTGGAGAGGGATGGCACAGCGATCAGCTCAGTGCTGCTCTCCACTGAGTGGAACACCCTGTTCAGCATTGAATTCACTGATCAGCACTTCTGACTTTTGCTTTCTGGAGATTAATTCCTGAGCACTTGCACTCCCCAGCAGTCACCCTAAAACCAGTAAACAGAGTTCCAGAGCAGCTTAGATTTGGCTGCTGTCAGAGCCGCAGCTCAGTGGAGTCTGAAAATCCCTGGGATGTCCCTTTGTGAGCCACAGTGCCATGAGTGGGCAGAGAAGGCAGAAGGCTTTGTGCACCGCTGGGCTGCATCTGGATCCTGACACGGGCTCGGAGTTCCACAGGAGCACAGTGCTGCTCCTAAAACAAAGGAAAGGGGATAGAGGGAAACTGGGGAGGGTGGGATTGTTGGGGTGTCCTGTGCAGGGCCAGAAGCTGAACTCAATGATCCTTGTGGGTCCCTTCCAACTCAGGATATTCTGTGATTTTTAGTTCCTACATTTTAAGAGCAGTTCGAAGGAAAGCTCATGTGTTGGCCCTGCTTGAAATACAGCACTGAATGGGATTTGAAGGACAAGCAGTTTAGTGGGTATTTTTTCTTTAAGAAGGTAATCTTGGAATTTCTTGGCCCCATTTCAGAATTTCTGCAACACAATGGTGTTCACTGAGTCATGGCAATCCAGTGGGAACACAGGTTTTGCCAGGGCTGAAATGTGAAACAGAAAACAGGTATTTTATTAGGAGCAAAAATTTTATCAGACACCTCAGAAATATACTTTAAATGCTTTGGAGAATTATATGTGGTCTAATTCACTTCACAATGAATAAGCAAACAGCCTGGTTTATGGCAGGTGTCCCTGCCCATGGCAGGGGTGGAAAAAGGTGGGCTTTAAGGTCCTTTCCAACCCAAACATTTCTGGGATTCTGTGATATGGTAATAATTAACTCCTGTATCCCTCAGTGTGCTAACAGCATCTTTCTCTTCATGGCTGGGCTAAGCAGACATGGCCAAGCTCCTCAAAGTAAACATTCTGAAAGCCACCAGTGCCCCAGCAAGGGCCAGCAGCCTCTGCCCTGAGTGGTCCAGGCTGGCACACGGCCCCTGGAAAAGTGCCCAGTGCACTTCTCACATCCACACCTTTCTGCTGCCCACTCAGTCAACAATAAACTTTTCCTAGAGTAGATTAAAAAAAATCTATTAAAAGCTAATAATTATTCTAATAATTTTATCTTAAAATATTTTAATTTATAGTATGTTAATATAAATAAGAATACTTAATAATTAGTATATTAGCTGAGTCTTCTCTTAATATGTTAATTAATGTAATGAGTTAATTGTACACTTTTATTTCAATCAAGTGTTTGGCAAACACCCTCGGGCACAGGGTGGGATTCTGGGAGTCTCCCGTGCAAACCCAGGAGCAGGACTCAATAATCCATAGGGGTCCTTTCCAGCTTGGGATATTTAAGATTCTGTGAATTATTCTGAGTTCAAAATTAAATCCTGCCCTGAGATTAAGGGAAGGATTTCCCTTGACTCAGCTGAACCAAGGTTTAAACATGTCTGTTCCTGTCAAAGGACAACTCACCAGAGCTGCTCCTTGGCACTGCACCCACTTCAGCTCTCTGCACATACTTCATTGCACCTGTGTGTGACAGTCAGCTGGAACTTTTACCAGCCTTTAACAAGAATGCGATTTCCTGCCTTTGCATTCCTCAGATACTCGTGTACTCTGCTTCCTGCACACTCCTTAGTTACTCTCAGGCCTCATGTTCCACCTCTTTCACTTCCCTGCAGGTTTTCCCGCTGGTCTGATGAGGTTTGCTCTGGGCTGAGGAAGAGCTGCAGTGCTGTCTGTGCATTCCTGGAGCACAGAGGCGGCTGGGGCAGTGCTGGGCAGCTGATGAAGAACCCACCAGGAATTCGATCAGGCTCTGAGAACAGCCTCAGCCTTGCTCTCTGTAAAACAGACATTGAGGGAAGGCTCTGGCTGCTCTTTCGGCCTAAGTTCAGAGTTTTGTACCAGGACAATAGCTCCAGCAGGCACAGCGTGAGTTGGGACACATTTACTGTTGCAGGAGTTGGGAAATTCAAATTATACCTCTCCTTTTCTTCCTTATCCCTCCTCATTTTAGGGAACTACTGCAGAAGCACTTCCAGCTGAGAATCAGGGTCCATGTGTGGCAGCATTTTGGGACACTGGCATTGATTGACCGCTGGTTGCTCCTTTCCCTTCATTTACACAGTTGTTGGGAGTGTACTAAAGGCTGTATTATACATAAGGTAAGGTACACAGGGAGTAGTAAACTCCCTCACAGAACTGGGACTTCCATGACTTGATCCCTTTCCCTGCTTTTATGTTGTGCTGGGTTTAACTAACCAGCTCAACATCATCTGTATATAGTTTTAATGTCAAAGGAGTATTTTTTCAGAAACATTCTCCTATTTCAGAAAGCACATTTTCAGTTGCCAAAAATACAGTCCTTAGTAGCGTTATGTGGCTTGTAAGAGCTTTATTTTGAAGATTGCTTTAATACAACAGGCTGGAAGAGAACAGTGTCTGATTTTCCAAAGCCTCTTCACTGGAGTGGTTTCAAGTGTCTGAAACAAACCAGCCTGAAAATCCAATTCCACTACAACAAATAGAACAAATCTGATTTCTCATGTTGCAACAACACACACACTGACATGTGATGCCTCCAGTAGCTCCTGCCAGGACTCATCTTTCCAGAACTATGACATTAAATTCACAGCTTCAGCTTGGGGGCTGAAGACCACACCATACTCTGATGGCTCTAGAACTGAGGGATATCTGTTCTTTTGGGAGGCTCAGGTAAAAGCAATAATCTTAGCTGAACTTGTCTCTTGACCAATGTATCTGAGACTTGTCTTCCTCTTTTTCAATGGTTTTTGTATTCCCCTTGCATATATATCAGTTATTTTAGAATTAAGTCTTGTAAAGCAAAAACCTGTCTGCACTGATGAGAGTCCAGCTTGCTGCTTACCTGGGGACAGAGCAAGAAGGGCTTTGTGGGCATAAAGATGTTACAGAATATTTCAGGTTGGAAAAGGCCTTTTGATAGAATCCAACCATTAACCCAGCACTGCTAGTATGTACTATCCCATCCATCCCTGCCCTCTGGCAGTGGAAGCCACTCCCTGTGTCCTGTCCCTCCATCCCTTGTCCCCAGTCCCTCTCCAGCTCTCCTGGAGCCCCTTTAGGCCCTGGAAGGGCTCTGAGCTCTCCCTGGAGCTTCTCCTCTCCAGGTGAACATTCCCAGCTCTTCCAGCCTGGCTCCAGAGGGGCTCCAGCCCTGGGAACTGGTCCAGTGCTCTGGACTCTCTCCTGCAGTTCTACATCCCTCCTATATTGGAGATCCCTGAACTGGACACAGCAGAGGGAAATTCTTGTCTGCCATGCCCCAAATTCTCAACAAAAGAATTTTTAATGCACCAATTTCCCCTACCATGACCATGGCATGAGCACCCAGAGGCCCTCTGCAAGCACAGTTCGTGAGCAGTAATTTCTCTCCCAGAAAAAGCCTAACAGGTCTCAGGTTTCACACTACAGGGGGAATTCAGAGCACACCTTTCTGCATGGAAGCACACACACACAAATTGCTCCCCTGGGATGTGGATCTGGGCTGGGGCTGTGTATTCTATTTTTGGAGCAATACTGGAATGTTTCCAAGACCACCATGACACAATCACTGCACTATGGGTGGTAAACAAGTCCCCAGTGCTGCTGCAGCCCTTCCTGCACTGCTTGCTGTGCATTCTTTCACCACTGCCTGCATTACAAGGGCTCTTGTCATGCACCTTATCCATGCACCCCTCAGAATACACCCATGAAAAAGGCAAACCAACCACGAGCCCCACTGCGCAGCTCCCGTCCACTGGGTGGAATCCAGACAGATCACAGAAACAATCTGGTGAGACAAGACTGCTGAACCAGCTGCAGTAGGTAGCAATGATTTAAACCTTTTGTAAGCATACCACTTCTATCTGTAAAATGTTAGGTGTATTAAAGCTTTTAAGGCATTTGGTCCTGCCAAATTCAAACTCACTGGTGTCTGAGCCTTACCTGTAGACAACTTACCAGCTGCGATTATGTTAAGACTAGTCAAGATTTTTATGCAGCAATTTAAACTCATGGTCAGAAACCAGGTCTGGAATAAGCAGAGCTCCTGCACATTCAGCAGTAAATAGATGTTTCCTACCCAAGCAGTGAAGTCTTGTACCAAAGATCTTAAACAAAAGTTAATACTAAAATAATTAACACCATAATTAGAGTGTTGGAATTATAGTGAAGACTAAATATGGCCTTGAGTTTATTTCAATGTGGGCACTGCTTTTTCCTTTAAAATTCACGTCTTCATTTAGGAGAAAGTAAAGGCAATTCACTATCAGTTGCACAAAATGCTGTATTTTATTAACTAAATCAAAAAAAGTACAGTTAAATTCACACAATATAAGCAATATAAGCAATATAAGCAATACCTAACATGTTTATAAGCTAGTTCTGTGTCTGGATTGCAATTTAAATGGTGGCAGGTGTGAGCACAGCACATTAATGCTGCAAGGTGCTTAGAACTGACATCACAGTATCCCACAGAACAGTGCCCAGCCGGAGCCCTACCAGAACTACTGCTGTGGTGCACTGCAATTACATCACAAAACGTGGACTGATTTTTAACAATTCCATGAGAAACCACGCCACCATTTTTAACTGGAAATTTCCTCCCTGCAGCACTGTAAATAATGCACCGAGAGCTTGTTCACTCTGAGTGCCATGCCTGGTGAGAAAGCACCAGCTTTCAGGGGAGCTGGAATCTGATACTTTTGGGGAAGGAAAACTGGAGTTTTTCCACTTGAAATGCACCAAGCCAAAGGAAGGTATATTTCAGCTCCCTGTGAGCACACAGTTTCCAGTACCTTGATGTTCAGAAACTCACACCTCTACCCTAGCCTCAGGGGCCTCCAGCTTACTCTGGAAGGAGTGCCTTCCCAGCACAGCCTCTTACTTACCACAGCCCAGTGTCCCCAAAGTGGCACGTGCAGCCCCAATGTCACCATGCTGCATTCCAGCCAGCATTCCTACACTTCCATTGGGGACCAAATCTGCCAAGACACAGTTTTCATTAAGCCTCAGCAGCCTTAGAAATACCTTGTCCTTTCTCTCCATGTCCCAGAGCTGCAGAGGTTTGCAGGCTGGAGCCCAAAAGGTCCTGGTGTTATAATAAAGCCCTAAGAAAGGCAGCAGGTTGTATAGTTACCTCCTTCTGAGCAAAATCCCTGCCCTAAAACTATGCAACCTACTACCTCTTCCTAGGAGCCCCACGCTTCCTCTGTGCAGTTCTTCACTCTCTGCAGGACTTTAGCTCCCCAGCTGCTCTGCTCTTCTGCCCTGGCTGGGCACACACTCCGAGGTGACACTGTCAGCACTGACAAACAGGGGCTCATTGCCTGTAACACTCACCAATCGCTCCATTTTCACTCTGCCTAAGCTGAGCTTCCCGGCCCAAAAAGCATTTATTTCCGTGGGGTTTTTTGTTACTACAGCAAGCTGCTTGCTGGGCATGCTAGCACAGAACCAGTTACAGACTGGGTACACCAAGCACAGTAGGACAAAAGAGAATGCAATAAACTTCAGAAGTCTTTTTACAGAAACAATACGACCTCAGAGAAAAGTTCTGGCTCTTGGATGCTCAAACTCCATAGCTTCACACCCCCCGCAGAAAGGTGAGAGGTCAGTTTTGGCCCAAACTGGCCAACACTTAAATTTTGCATTGGATCTGGAAAAGCTGCAGAAAAACATGTAGACTTATTAATAAAGGGTCATTTTAAGTCTTCCCTCCAACTTCTACCAAGCAGTTGGGAGTCACAGAGTTTTAATGCATTATGGAAATTGGGGTGCCAGAAGAGTTTAAATCACAATGCACAAGCTTGAGCTCCCTGTATTTTACGTTCTCCTAACTGGCTTAGAGTAACTTTCCTCTGTGGAGTGTTCTACCCTCTACCTAAGCATGGGCATTTTCCATTCCCAGCCAGTACTGTGCCACTCACCTTGAGAGAAAAGTTATGTTAAGTCAAGGATATCCTGTGGGGGTTGCACCATTCACACTGTCAGTCCTGTGCATTCTGGCACTGCTGCTTTCCAAGCCTGAATTCATCTCGTTTCACTCAATGAATGTTTTTAGCCCAGGACTGGCTGCAAGGGAGAGCAGTTTGTTTTACTCCTCAGGGAAGGCAATAGATTGTATAGTTATCTCCTGAACAGGGTAAAATAACTACCCTACAACTATACAATCTACTACCTCACTCTGACAGAGAAGCAAGGGCTCAGCAGCCAACCTCAGTTTCATTCTGAAGGACGCTTGATCCAACATCCCAACAACTGGAATTTGTATTTGATTGTCCCACCATACACATACAGGAATAATCTATTCTTAACTTTTTAGTCATTAGGGCAGAAAAATTAATGCAGAATGAAACCTAGCTTTTCCAAGAACTAGAAAAACCTAAGCACAATTCCCATAGCTATTACACAAGTATTTTGTCCTGTCATAAGCATTACAAGTACAGAAGTTCAGCAAAATCTGACATTGAGCTTAAAACTGAGGAGCTTCCATTGTTGATTATCTGCTGCTTTAGGAAAGACAGTAGATTGTATAGTTATCTCCCAGTGGTGGGTATGACCCTAAAACTATACAACCTACTACCTCATCCCACAGTGCAGGCATCTTCAGAGCTGGGGCAGGATTGCTGCTTCAGTCAAGACAAGTCAGGCTAGCTGCAGACGGCATTTTTAACACTCACCATAGAAAAAGCCTTTCCCTTGCTCGCCCTAGTCACAGAAGGAAGTTATTTTTAAAATAAGGTTTCCTAATTTCCAAATTTTACCAGTTGCCTGGGTCTTAAGTAAGCAAGCTGTAGCAGTCTCATAGCAACTACAGTAATTAAACTTCTGTTGAATTACCAGTCACGTTCCACAGGTGTCACTTCTCACCTGAAATCAGAAGAAAAGTCTATCAGCAACACTGTAGGCAGACACACATTTCTTCCTCTTTAGAACTTAAAAATAATGTAATCTACGACCACAGCTACATGACTGACTTATACAGATCAGGAGGAGGCCCTAATATTTGTAAACCTGATTAAAAAAATATTATTACATATAGTGACCTTTTCACCTATTGCACCAATAGCTAAAAGAAAAAAAAAAAAAAACCAACAAAAAAACCCCAAACAAACCCATGCACTGTCCCAAATACTGCTTGGAGCTTTTTCTGCTAGTCTTAAATTATATTACACCTTGTGCACAGGAATTCTTTTATTAGAAATAAAACTCAGTAAGATTATGGGCTCTATCCTGACATTTAGTTGTTAAACTGCCTTACCAAAAGGCCACTGAAAATACATGCTTTCCCATCAGAAAGAAGTCCGAGTTTCTCCCCTGATGTAACTTTAAAGCCAATTTCCACATTAACACAGCTCAACATCATCTTTGAATACTGAAATGAAAACACTTGCCAGACAGATGTGTGACTCAGAATTCCCTTTGTAGCAAGGACAGCTTGAGAACAGGACTGGAAAGGAAAATGATTGTTTGTCCAGGTAGTGTATACAATAGCTGAAAACGTTTAGAGAAAAGCAGTTTTTAAAACATTAAATACATTTTACTAGTACTCGATCCCAGTCGCAGCCTGCTGCTTTCAGCCCACTCTGCAAACAAAGCCTGCACAGAACAAGAGCACCCTCATGCCCGCTGGTGTCCTTGCCAAGCACACAGCGCGTGATCCCGTGCACTCACACAAAGGGATGACGTTATTCCTTGGACAGACACAAAATCAAATTACTTTCCAGCCCCCTCAGTGCCTTATTACAGAATCCTTTATACAAACAGTGATGACAAATTTGGGTGAATCAACCTTAAAATCTCACTTGTAACTGGTATAAATCCAGTTGCAAGTTATAAATGCATGTGTGCTTTTGCTAACTTACACATTTACCAGAAAATAAACTTCAGCTTGGATACAAGCACTTGGTCCTGATGCCCAAAGCAGGAATAAATCAGAACAGCTCTGGGCCAGAGTCAAACCTTTATAGAGCACTGGCTCCCATCACATCCTTTTAAATCAGTTCTGGCAGAGCTGACATTCAGCAGTGAAGCTGACATTGCTTTCAGCTCTCTGCTCCTGCACCCAGCCTTCAGCAGCTGAGCAGAATCCCTGTGAATTCCCATTGTTCAGGGGGAGAGGCAGCCTGGCCTACACTGAGCTGCACAGCACCGACTCTGCACCTTCAGTTGGACAGTGACCCCAGGAAGTTAATAAAGTCCCATGTTCAGTGTCTGAGGCTGACAGCTCTGTGGTGTACTGAAAATGTTTGAAGCACGTATAAAACCTGGATCTGGGTGTTACACACTTGTTTAAATTTTATAAAATGTAAGGCAATGCTTCTCCATTTCTTTTTAAAATTAAGCCTGAAAGACATAAGGATTACAATAAACCTAGAAATAGATCTGTTTCATTTCTCCACCTTTAGACAAAGCTTAGCTGCAAACCTAACCAACCTGACATGTATCAAGCAATTTTTATTTTTAGTATTCTGCTCTACATTAATCCTGCATTTTGGGGCATTTTTAATTTGTGGTTTATTTCTAACAGCCTTTCCAAGCTGCATCACCTAGGCTGCCATGTTTTTGGACAGGTGAGATCTGCCAGGTGCCCTTGGGGACCCCCGTTTCTCTCACACCATGCACCAGGAGGTTCTGGCACTCACAGCAGCAGGGAAGCCTGACAAATTATCTGGCTGGCACAGCCTCTACTGAGCTGGTGTGTTCTCATCCCCAGTGAATCCAGAGCTGCAGAAGCTCCCTGCTGCTGATGTCACCACGCTGCTGCTGTCACAGCAGTGCAGCACAGGAGTTCAGGGTCATGCACCTGCAACGTTCACTCTTTCAGCACAACACATTATGAGAGACAAGCTTGAACACAATCCCCAACTCATCTGCTTTCCCTGTTAAAAAAGCCAGGTTCCCAAGGTTCACGTGCTTTTCCTTCCAGCACGTGTTTAAAATCCCCAGAGCAGTGCAAGGGGACAAAGTGACTCCAACTGTGGAGCTGGACAATCTCAGCAGCCCCAGGTCCCAGTGCTGCAGCTCTGGCTGCACAGCTCCCACCACACGATGGAGCTCCTGGATTTACACAACAGCTCCAACACCATTTCCTCAGTGTTACCCCTGGATTCCAGCAGCAATCCCTGCACTGAAGCCACACTTCCTGAATCCCAGGAGCTTGCTGAGTGACCGCGTACTGCCTTCTCCAGCTGTGCCGAGCATCCCCAGCTCCTGCCTCAGATGTGCCCATTCCATGGGGTTTTTGTGTGACTGAGGTGCACAACAGGAAGAAAAGGAGCAGCATAATTAATATAATAAGATATCTAATATATAATAACTAATAAATATAATTAATATAAACTTAATTATTCCTGATACTGCTTCCCCTCACTGCAGTCACCCACCCCTGCACTGCCTGTCATCACATGCAACAGGCACATCTCAGCCCCTCTTCCCAAAACAAGCTCAGGAAAATCAGATGGTGATTGATACAAAAGTCTCAGCATAAACTACAAGTGCTTCCTCTTGCATATTCAGTTTTGGATTGTACCTTCCTTTGTCTTAATAATGTGCTAATCTGAAGGTAACATCTCCTAGCTCAAGCCCAGGCACCTTTTTTTCCCCTACTCAGACCCAAAATTGAAACATTTAATATTTCCTTTTGCACCTGCCAGGACACTGAGCAGCAAGACACTGGAGCAAGAGTAAATCACACCAGAAATCTGCTCTAAACTGGGAAATTGTACTGAGGAGAAAAGGAGAACAAGTAGTTCCAGCACATAGAAATGCAAAGATGCGTTCTTGGGCAGCACCACAGCCCGCACACCCAGGAACACGTGTCCACAATGATATTTTTTGGAATTTTTTACACAATATTAAGATTAATAGCACTGACTGCTACCAATAATGCCTTTATCTACTGCCTCGATTGGAAATACAGGTTTTTTTTTTTTTTCCAAAAATCTCTACCCCACTTGCATTTAATTAACACAGAGCACTCTGGCTTTAAGAAATTATCACAAGATATTACTGTTGTGCTACATTTTCAATTAGTGTGCTTGGTTTCAATTTATTTTTCTAACCATGTAGTTATAGATGGAATATAATGGAATATAAATATCCAGAAACTGTGGCCTGAGAGAAACAGAAAGTCAGCACTGCCCACTCAAGCACAGAATGAAGCCTATCTCCTGTGGAAAAGTAAAGTCTGTGAGCACTATTAATGATTTCTGCTATGAACACAGAACACAAATCCTGGCATCTCTCCCCACACACACGTGATTTTACAGCAATAGTACTAACCTCTCCCCATCCAAGTGGTGCATGTGCCACAGCACTGCACAGTGCTGCTAGAAACCTCAGGAAGGCCTGAGAATGCCGACACCAAAATGGTCACATATTCTACTCCTCTTTGAGTACTCCTCTCTCAGAACACAGAGAGAGATCTTTATAAATAAATAAATGTACACTTCAGCCTCAAACATTACAAAGGCCTCAATGACCTTCTCAAAAGAAATCATCAGTTTGGTTATCTTGCCCTGCTTCAAACATAAATGTGTGTGTGCATACACACACACACACACACACACACATATATATATATATATATATATGTATATATATGAAATACACAACTGTGTATTTATTCACTAGATTTATGTCTCCTAGAACATGCTAGGAGCAAGTAGGCTTCTTCTGCAAAAAGTTCACATATGATAACAATTACACAAATTCAGCAAGAAAGTTAGTGCACAAAAAATATTTCAGATTACTGTGTTATGTTATTAACTGGCAATATAAACAGACATCTATTACCCTAAGTCCTGGGAGCCTTTCACTATTTGCAAATGAACTGATGTTTTCCACCACTTAAAACAGAGGACAATAGAGAAGACAATTATCAAAATGAAAAGTGAAGTAAAGATACCGCTCATTGCAGTGGGAGGACAAAGCAAGAGAACTCATGTTTTAGCTAAACTTCCTTCTGACTAAGGAAGCACTAAATCTCCAGTATTAGCATGCAAAATAATTTCTTAGCATGACCTATGTGATCTGAGGTTGCACATAAGATACACAGAGTACAACCTGGGAAAAACTCAGTGAAAAAAATCACAGCCAGCAATTGTCTATTAAAAATATCACAATACAGCTATTTACTAGGTCCCTCTTCATGAAGCTAACTATCATAGGACAAAAAAGGCTTCAAAACCATTATTGCATGTTGACTGCAGCAAGTTTCAACCATCACTGCAAAAAACTTCTTGGGAGTTCAGACTATTTAACACCTGAGTGTTGCCGTGAACTGAACTGGTCAAATTTGACAACAGAAGCCACAACAGCAAATAACTGTTTGGTGAGGCTCCTGGCAGCTGGGGATGTTTGATGATGCCCTGTTTCTTAAATATTATTTAAGTTATTGCTTTTGAAGGGACAGATTGATTTTCCCAAAAATTCTCTGATGGATTCAATTTGCCCCACTGCTGCTATTGAGCATCGTTCCTGTGTACAATTTGCATGGGAGCAATTTTTCCCTGCCAATTAAGCACTTCAGTCACAAAACTGCCCATGCAGAGCAGTACAGATCGAGAGCAGCAGCAACAAGGTGGGACAGGCACATAACTAAACAAGGATTATCCCAACCTTGATCATCAGGTTGAGTTTTCACTCCTGAAATAAATCACAGAATTGTTAAGGTTGGAAGGGACCTCTGGAAACCAACCAGTCCAATCCCCTGCCAAGGCAGGGTCACTCAGAGCAGGTGACACAAGAATACATCCAAGTGGGTTTGGAATGTCTCCAGAAAGGAGTCTGGAGAGGTCTCCACACCCTCCCTGGGCAACCTCTTTCAGTGTTCTGCCACTATCACGGAAAGCTGTAATATAAAATCATAAAAACACTATTTGATGGGGTAACACTTTCATCTAAAACTGACTGAGGCATGCCAGAATAAAGTCACCAGCTGCGGCATGCCAGAGCTGGACCCTGCTCTGTGTCACTGCCAGCCCTGCAAGAGAACCACACGTGCCGATTCCTGAGCTGGACCGGGGGCTGAGCTGCCCACGCCAAAGGCAAGAGGCACTCCTGCAGCGCCCAGAGGCAGCCAGAGCTCCGGGCAGAAGCTGCAGGTACGTGTGACACCAGGGCGCTGCTGCTCAGGTGTGCAGCCCGCCCCGCCAGCCCCGGCGGCGATGTGCCCGTGTCCCCCGCACGCCGCCGGGCAGGGCCGCGCTCCCGACCCGCGGGGACCCGGCGGGAGCGGCCGGGGCCACGGGCCCGGGAGGGCGCAGCCCCACGCCAGGGAATGGTGCTCGCCATCAACCACAGCCCCGAGCAGCCTCCGTGCCCCTGACAGGGGCTGGGCCGCCAAGGCACTTCCACCTACTTCCTAAGGGGTTTTCTTCACCTTCCGCGCCTCGGTCCGAGCTCTGCCCCGCCGCCGCTCTCTCGGGGCCCGGGCAGGGCCGAGCCCCCCCCAGCCCCGGGACCAGGAGGGCTCCCCCGGCCAAGGTCCCCCCGGCCCCGGCAGTGACGTACCTGGCGCCGACGGCTCCCGGGGGCGGCACTTCCGGACCTTCCCGTGAGCCTGGAGGAGAGCGGGGGAGAACGAGGGGAAAAGGCATCGATGAGGGGAATAAGGACAATGAACCGGGCCCGCGGCAAAGGCGGCGGAGAGGCCGGGCCGAGGCCCCGCACCCGCCCGTACGGGCCCTTCCGCTCGGTCCCTCCGCCTCCACCCTCCCCCCGGCGCGCCCCGACCCCGCGGCCGCTCCCGCGCCCCCGGCCCCGCCCGGCCCCGCCGTCCCGGTACTTGCGGGACCCGGATGAGATCGCGGCCGCTGCGGCCGCCGCTCCCGCGGCACCACGGGAAGGGCGCCGCGCCCCGCCCGCCGCAGCCGCCGCCCGCCCGTCCATCACCCGCCGCTTCCCGCGCCCATTGGCTGTGGGGCCGCGAGGTCCCGCCCCCGCGCGGGACTGTGACTCTTCATTGGTCAGCAATCTACAGGGCTCCGCCCCCTCCGCCATTTATTTCGGGCGCGTTCCACAGCGGTCCCGTAATGGCGCCCCCGGCGGCCGCGGGCCGCGCCCGCTTTTCCCCGCCTGCACCTCGGCCCTGCCCTGCCAGGCGTGGGACGCCGCCGCCCGGCCCTGCCCAGCCCAGCCCTGCCCTTCCCTTCCCTGGCGGGGTGAATCGCCCTGGCCGTGTGTGCCCCGCGGCCCAGCCCGCCTCGCGCCCCTCGGGCGTTGGGGGCGGCATTGGCACCACTACAGGGCTCGGGCTTTGGCCTGCCCGCGGCCCATCGCACGGAACCGTGGAGTCCTCAGGGGTGAAAGAGCCCGTTAATGTCACCCAGCGCTGACTCTGTGACCCTAAAGCACCCAGCGCCACACCGGACACCTCTGGCACGCCTCAGGGATGGTGACTCCACCGCTGCGCTGAGCAGCCCCTCCAATGCCCGACCACCTGAACAGTGAAAACATTTTTCTAATATCTCATCTGAATCTCCTGTCTCAGGTCAAAGCCATTTCCTGTGATCCTCTCGCTGCAGGCACAACACCACCTCACTAGGGTCCAAGTAACCTTTTCTGGTTGTATTCCTGAATGATTTTTGTAACCTTTGGGGATGCAGAGGGTCTGCAGGGAGCATCAGAGCCTTTCAGAGGAGAAGTCTTTCAGCTCCTTAGTGTGTCTGCAATATCACACTCATCAGGACTCATACAATCTCAGAAAGAGAAATGCTGTGTTTAAAATCAAACTTCAAACATAGCATTCATTTTCCATGTCTCTTAATTTTCACAAGATTTTTGGGATAGGTCTTGATTCTAATAAATAAAAGTATTGGCTATAATATTCAATATAATATTTATAATTATAATATATAACTATATAAATAATTATATCCTGTGTCAAATATTGAAGTAAACAAAACTGTGAGTGCACAATGTATTCTTGTCAGAATTTTTTCTTTTGAGAAATTTTTGAGAACCTAAGACAATTTTCTTTTGAGAACATAAGACAATTGTGGGCCTCCTCTGTTCTGAAACCAATTGAAGACAAGGAATGGGAGTTCTACCAAGAGTCCATTTGTCATACTGGCATTGAAAAGGTAGAAAGGTCAGAACGAGGAAGACTTCATTGACTTCCTCATTGAAAGGGACTCCCATGAAAGGGACCACCGACCCATTTCAAGGAACAAGCTATGCCTGCTTAAATAGGTTTTGAAATTATTAGCATACGAAGCGAGGAATGGGATGTACCAAAATTATGAATACATACTTGTATTTTGTGTATTCAATACTTGTATGGATAAAAAGGCTCTGTAATCACCTGGAAGGGGCGGTGTGTATTTGGGAGCTATCCCGCACGCTGCCCAGTGTCGAATAAACATACACTTTCTAACTTTAAACTGTTAGAGAGTTTTTGTCCATCACAGTTGGATATCGATACTAGATCAATATCCATATTTTTTTAATAAATCAGCTCAGAAAAGGGAAGATGTGTCTCCTTTCGGTCATAATTTTGGAATAAACTTCTGTATCTTAATGATATTTTTTTTTTATTATAATAACTTTGATACATAAAGACTTTGTGAGGTATTGATCAACACCTATGATTTCTAATAAATACATTTTTTTACTTAGTAGGCAGCTAGCACTTATAGGATGGCAAGTGTGCAGATTTCTAAAATGAAAAGAGATAGAGAAAAATTCATAGCAAGTTTGTTTTCTGCATGTTCTTTAAAGATTTGGGATCTTCTGTCTCTTCTTCTAGGTACAGATTTATTCAAGCTCAAATTTACATCTCTCCAGTGAGCCTTCAATTAGACTATTTGATAACAAGCTAACAGGTTCCTCTGTTCCTCAACTAAATGATCTGCAAAGTAAATAATAAGTAAAATGGTTTGAGTAATGCAGGAGCACCTTATTTCTCTGATAATTCAGTATAAGGTAGGAAAACATTTTGCTGTAAGGCTTGAGTAGTTATCAAGACAGTACTATTTGGGGGCTGCTTTTAGCCAGGGGTATAGAAACCACATAAGTCATCCCTCGCCTATTTTCAAATACATCATGTGATGGATAGCAGCTAGGAAATTAGAGTGAATGGATTAATGACTGAAAGAAAACCAGTACCTGGACAGGTTTAATCATGAATAGATGGATGAGGCTGCCTGTGTCCACACACACTGATCAGACATTGCTTTTGGGGATGACAAGGCTTGTTATCATGTCAATCATGCCCCAAAAATCAGTACTGAGCACACAGTGTTGTGTGACAGGGCTGGTGCTGCCTACAATCGAGGGATTCACCAACTGAGTTGAATTTTGGACTTGACAATGCTATTGCATGTAGAACCATGAAATGTCTCATTTAATGTCACATTTGTCCAATGCCATATAACGCAGTTCTTGTAAAAAAAAACCAAAAGCACCAAAAAAAAAAAAAAACCCAAAAGAAACCCCCAAAGATTGAAAGATTGGATGCAGCTGCCTGGCAGGACATGCTCTCCTCAGTGGGTGGGCACCTCTTGAGATCCATCCCACACAATCCTGCCCCAGCCTGAATGTCACAGCAGGCTGAGGTCACAGCAGGCTGAGGTCACAGCGGGCTCTGGGGTGACAGCAGGCTGAGGTCACAGCAGGCTGAGGTCACAGCGGGCTCTGGGGTGACAGCAGGCTGAGGTCACAGCAGGCTCTGAGGTCACAGAGGTCCCAGAGCTCCGTGGCTGCACAGCACCACAACGCCCGAGCAGGCAGTCCTTGAGCACAACTGCTGCGGCAGCAGCGGCGGTGGCAGCAGTGCTGACACTGGGACAGTGGTGGCAGACGTGGTGCTGACATTGGGACAGTGGTGGCAGACGTGGTGCTGACACTGGGACAGTGGTGGCAGGACAGTGGTGGCAGCAAGAGCGGCGGGACTGGCACAGGACAAGGCACCATGGCCCTTGCTCTGCGCCTCCTCCTCCTGCTGCTCCTGGCCGTGGCCCTGCCTGCCAGGGCTGCCCAGGCTGCTCCAGTGCAAGGGCGGGGAGCAGGTGAGCCTCAGCCTGGCTGCCCTTTCCCGGGACAGCGCTCCTGCTCCCCGGGAAGCGCTGGGGATGGTTTTCCCGTGGGCTTTAGGGAGGGTTTCCTCTGTGGGAGGGAGAGAGCCCCCATGGGCCCCGGGTGGCTCCATCTGCCCTCCCAGGGATGTTGCACAGGGTCTCAAAGAGGGTGGGCAGTGACCAGGTGCCAGCCCAGAGCTTCCCAAGCCCCTGTGCACCTTTGGCCTTGTCCATTACCACCTGGCTCCCACAGCCTTACTGATCCCCTTGCAGTGCCCAGTTTCCAAAGGCAGAGGGGGATCCCGGCACACCATGAATAATAGAATCACAGAAAGACTTAGTTGGGAAGAGACCTTCAAGATCATCAAGTCCAACCCAGCCTTAACACCTCAGCTACACCATGGCATGTTGTGCCACTTCCACTCTTTTTTAAAACACATGCACGGATGATGACTTCACCCCCTCCCCGGCAGACAATTCCAGTACTTTATCACCCTTTCTGTAAAAAGCTTTTTCCTAATATCCAATGTATATTTCCCTTGGCACAGCTTAAGACTGTGCCCTCTCATTCTGTCAGTTGCTACCATGGAAATTGTTCTGATCTGTGCTTCCTTCTAGATTGGGATGCTGGAAATGTTTTCCCAGCACCTTGGCTGGAAGATAATTTGGATCCAGAGGGTCTTCCCACAGGTAAGATATCTATGTTCCTCCATAGAATAATGATTGACAACCTGTCAAGAAGCAGGTGACAGAAGCTTCTGCGGCTATTCAGGTACAGGTGTGTCTGCAGAAGCCAATTTTCCAGCTTCTGGGCTGGATGCTGTGCAAATGCCTGGCTCCCATTTCAGGGGTGAGTAATGTGTCCTTGCTGACCCAACAGGCTGAGCCCTGGTTTTGTGCGATCCAGTCCTGGGAAATAGAACTACTTTCTCTTAAGGTCCTCCAAAAGGAAAGACCGAAGCTAAAGAAGAAAATAAATCTCTGAAGCCATCCGAACTTCTGGACCAGATGCTGAGTGATCTGGAGAGACGCCGTGGTGGGTGCATTTCCCTCAGCCTTGTCCTGGGACTCAGCAGCCGGGGCTTTCCCTGCACACCTGGACAGGCCGTGCCCGGCACAGTGGGAAGGGATCCATGGCAGCCTCGCTGCCCCGCTGCTGCTCTCACAGCCTGCAGGGCTGTTTCCCAGCCTGGGCTGGCTGCAGCTTCTCCCCAGCCTCTGCAGGAAGGCATTTGGCACCAGCTGACAGGGAGCCCCAACTGCACCACGGGCCATGCACACCCTGAGATCCCCTGCAGTTTCCCTATCTCTGAGGAGATCGGGAAGGGAAGCTGTTTGAAAGAGGGAGGGTTTTAGGGAGAGACCCCAAAGCCCACCTGATTTCCTGAAGCCTATTCATGACTTTGACAAGCATTGCCTCATGAAGATGCCCCCTCCCCTATGGGAAACAACCCCACCTGATCCAGCTGTGCCTCTTCTATTCTCCAGAATTGAAAGGAGAGCCTGTGCAGAAGGAAGCATTTCCCAGAGGAAGCAGTGGCTCATTGGCAGCCTCTGCTGCAGGAAGGGAGGCGATGCCAGGCACAGTCACAGGAGGTAATTGCTGTGCCTCTGGGCCTGAGCCCTGCTGAGCCTTGAGCTGCCCTCTCTGCTGCTTGGCAGGGCGGGCACAGCCCGGACAAGGCCGGCACAGCCCAGAGGGATTGTTATGCTCAGGGCACTCGGGTACTGAGCAGTCCTGCTGGGGTCCCTCTGTGGGAGACACGTCCCAAAACCTGGGAGTGACTGCACGGGGTGCCCATGGTGGGGAAAGGGCAGAGGGGGAGAGCAAGGCTGCAGGGTGTCCTGACAGGGCCTGGCTATGTGCCCTGGGGCTGGGGGATTTGT